TCAAAAAAACTAATCAGAAATTAGAACTCCAAATCTTTCTCCTTGACGATATAAGCCTTGCCATAACATATAAAATTCCCAAATTATCTCTTTTTTTTTATTTTATGCTCAAATCATTTGTAGGGTGTAACCCAAAAACACATCTCTCTCTCTCTCTCTCTCTCTCTCTATATATATATATATATATATATATATATATATATATATATATATATATATATATAAGGAAAAGTGAATATACCCTTAAGGGTATATAAGCTTAGGTACCCAAACTCACAATACTACGTCGTTTTGTATCATATAACACATTATAATTGTCCAATGTTCTTATAATTTAACTTCTAAATTGATTTACTTCCATGATTTTTATAAATTACACATTTATCTTTCTCTTACTTAAATTTCATTTTCAACTACAATAAATATAACCTAATAGGTGTTCGACAAAAAGATGTGACATAAGAGAAATATAATAGTGAAATTTCAAAAATCTTGAAATTAAATCAACTTAGGGGTTGAAGTTTAAGAACATTATATATATATATATATATATATATATATATATATATATATATATATATATATATATATATATATATATATATATGACATTTTCTATTACATGTAATTCTTTAGTAGAATATATAACATATTCTAACAATTATAAAAAATTATTAAAATATTCTAAAAATCTAAAAAAAATCAAGATATTAAAAAAAGAACGATAAGCTTTTTATTTTTTTCCATAAAAAAAAGTGACAAAAAATATAATATCTAAAAAATATACAAAAATTTCTATTTATTTTGAATTTTAGAATAGATTTTTATAACTTAAATAAATGGCTATGATTGAGCACTTATATTTTTCACATCAAACAATTAACCCTGTTACGTATTCCTGTTATTCTCACTCTCTGATCCTAAAATGATGATCTTGAGGGACCCATCCTAAAGAATCACTATGAGTGGCGAATAGACAATACTACTTCATCGATTTTGTACCAATATATATATATATATATATATATATATATATATATATATATATATATATATATATATATATATATATATATATATATAAGGCAACCAAGGGGGATAGAGTATTCTAATGAACAATTTTTCCTTTTCCCGAAAAATCATGATAGTTAAAAACCTACATGTGGAAACTCTCCTAGTGCTCCATGAGACTGTCTAAACTAGTAAGTGGTCGCCATCTATACTCTATTAGATGAATAGTCCCTAGAAGTATAATAGTAAAATGCATGGCCTCTCACCATTATTTTATTTCCCATAACCCTTCAGTACCAAATATAATTTAAATATTATAAAATAAATATACGTTAAAATCATATCATATAATTGCATTTTAGCATAGATATTAAGAACACAGATAATAAGCACATATAACATTTAATTATCTAATTGCTTTGTATCTATACGTAGTATGAAAGTGACTATGCACTAAATTATCAAAAGTGGATAATTGGTTATTTGGGTAGAGCTAGGTATAAATATCACTAAGTCTTACTATTTTCGCCTATATTAATGTTAGTCTAGATCCCTCAATAATCCCAAAGAATACTAGTCTATAGTTAATAAGGAACAACCAAGTAAAATTATATCGGATGTAGGGTTCATTTGATATATAGAGTATACTATTTGGAAATCTCACTTTAAACACCTCACTAATTCTAACTTAGACATCATTCTTGTAAGTAGATCAATCAGTATCATGATTGGAATCACTAATTAATATTATTTATAGATTCATGATAACAACTATGAATATACAAATATAAATTACAATTAAACTAAAATAAATGTAGCTTAACTTCTAGAAATTACTTAGCAAAAACCGGGAAAGTCGCGGGCAGAACTCCGACCCATACACTTCTTCAATCGGGATCCTAGATACTCAGAACCCCGCTAAAATACTCAGAAAGCCAAAAAAAAAATCTTACATGAGGTTATATAATGTTTGAGAGAGATTAGGAAGATCATGCACACACGTCGCGACTTACAGGCAATGTTGCTCCTCAGTCTTGTTACCACGTGGTGAAAATACGCTCATCCGCATCCTTCTAGAGCATAGGCACACCGCGCCTACCTACCAGGTCAGCATGTGGCTACGAGTATCAATATCACAACTTCGAAAATTCATATATTTGTCATAAACGCTCTGTTTTCAATGTTCTTTATATCCAACATAGTTATCAATAAGTACTACAACTTTTATTTTTCTCAAATTCTTTTTAATTTTATATTTTTAAAGGGCTTAGAATGTTATATTGACCGATTCTTATTCACTATATCCAACTCTCTTTTACATTATTTTGGCTAACAATCAATTGATTTTAATTTCGATTTTGTGTCCATAATATTGTGTCAAATTTTCGAAAAATCATAACTTCCTTGTATGACCATATGGTGCCTCTCTCTCTCTCTCAATATATATATATATATATATATATATATATATATATATATATATATATATATATAACACCCATAAATTTTGGCTAAACAATAAAATTATTAAAAATCATAATAATGACTTTTGAATATGAGATTGTTTAGGATAAATAATCTTAACTAAGTTATAATAAATATTGTAAAAAGTGAGTTGGAGATAAGTTACTCTCTCTCTCTCTATCTATCTCTCTCTTTCTCTCTCTCTCTCACCATTTCTCTCTCTCCCTCTCTCTCTGTCTCTCTCTCTAAATTCTCTCAATTTTAGCATATTTCCCTTAGTTTTAGCCTTCGGCAAAGCCCTGCGATCCCTGAAATAGTAGCTACTGAGTAGAAGCTTTGTCAGTTCAATTTTCTAATTTTGTCTAGAAGAACCTTTGTATTAGTATGGGTTGAAAACCCTATGTGTCTCATCATATATCTCAACCTGACCCACTTAGTATCTTTGTATCATAGGAGACAGTAATATGATACACTATTGATGATGTCTGCATTTGAGGAGAGATTTAAATAACCATAGACTATATTAAGATGTTGTAAGTCTCCATTTATGTTGATGTTTCTTATATTGATGATGACATCCTAAGTTTTATAATTAAAATACTTTTCTTGGACATGTCTTTGGGATAAATTCCGCAAAGTTAAACTTTTTAAAAGGACACTCTAATTTATTAATCATAAACAAAATTCGTCTTTTCTAACCGTAAAAATAGGGATGTCACAATATATATATATATATATATATATATATATATATATATATATATATATATATATATATATATATATATATATATATATATATATATATATATATATATAGGGTTAGGTTCATGTGAAACGACATAATTTTGTGAGAGCGTGAAATGCATTTTATTATTATTATTTTTTTTTAAATTTTTTTTAGTTAATTCAAGTTCCGAAAATAATATTTAAAAAAAGAATTTTTTGATTTTTCCATTTATTTTGCATTTTAAAATTATTTTTAGAATATGTACAGTGTAATATTCTATTTAGAATATTTCACGTACTTTTCAAAAAAAATAGAATTTTTTTTTTATTTTTTTTTAGTTAATTCAAGTTCCGAAAATAATATTTAAAAAAAGAATTTTTAGATTTTTCCATTTATTTTGCATTTTAAACTTATTTTTTAGAATATGTCACTGTAATATTCTATTTAGAATATTTCACGTATTTTTCAAAAAAAAAAAACAGGATTTTTTTTTATTTTTTTTTATTTTTTTTTTTGTTAATTCAAGTTCCGAAAATAATATTTTAAAAAAAAAAAATTGGATTTTTTTAATTTATTTTGTATTTTAAAATTATTTTTAGATTTGATCTCACGGTCTCATAAAATTAGAATGGTATCAAATTCTTTTAAGTAGTATATATTTCGAAAATAATACTTAGAAAATAAAATTTCAAAAAAATATAATTTTTATGCATTTTAAAAATTCTTTTATGCATATGCGTTTTTAGAAAATAAAAAAAAAACATGTATATGCACACGAATTTATTTTGCAAATTTTTTAAATATTCATATGAAAATACATATGTTAAATTTGATGACAAAATTTAATATATGTTCTTTTTGTTACTTGAACCATAAACGATATATTTTTAATACTTTGATATCGTTTGGTCAACTTTTTAATAAAAAGAATATATTATAATTACTTCGCTTGTTTAGTAATATAAACCGGAAAATCCCTACTTTTGATATTCGTCCCATTTCACAATGATGATGGTCTTGAACAGTTAACAATATCATTAATCACCAACAATTATACATTCAGGCTTTAGGGTAATCTATTGCTTGTTGAGTACGGTTTCTGCATGTAGGACCTTTCGGGTTGCTTCATGTTTGCACAATGGGTTGCACATATAATTGCACCATATTGCTTGTCATTTTAATTATGTCTATCCTCTCTTTTTTTCGTCCCAATGAGGACACAGTTTCGTTAGAAATCATACGTATCAAAGTTATGGTGTTACTCGTGGTTCCCGCAAATGTACATATGATATAACAAGTGCACCACGTCATTTATACTAAAAGGTGCAAAAACGATGACGATATTTTCGAATGTCTTGATGTCATGTACATATATTGTCTTTTACAACGGTTGTACATATATTCTTACACACTTTGCAACTCATATATCGGTTTTATAATGATATAGTTTGATATAATTCTACATAATACAAACGAATGAGAGAAAGTAGAATATTGGTGCATGATAATCGACATCATTAAATAAAGAAACTTCAATTAAATTGCATATTACAATGTAAAGAAGTAAAAAATACTTCTACATCTCATATACATATGGGTATTGCCTGGTTAATCAACAGAGGTGTATCCATGTAACGATAAAAGGAGATCAGCCACGTCTAGTGTAGTTTTCCCGATCTTTTAGAAGAACAAAAATACAACCCCCTCAAAAAAAAAGAACAGAAAAAAGATGGACGTAAGAATACCTCCATGCACCCCACTAGCTTAACTAGTAACAAAATTCTTAATTGTGAACTTAATGACCAACACCTGGACTGTGACCAGGGTTAGTGGGACGGAAAGCGTCCACACCAGAAGGTGGTGGCACTTGGCTAGCGTTTGTGGCATTGTTTCCTTCGGCCACTTGTTTTCCTTCGATGCATTCCTCACTACACTTAAAGTTTTCACCTAACTTTCTTGCTTCACTCGTTTGCAACACCTCAACGGCTATAAATAACATGATCAAAACATAACAGAAAAGGGTTATACTCAACCTAGCCATTTCAGACAAGAGTGAAAATATTAGAGAGATTTTAGTGAGGGTCTTAAGTTGTTATGTAGCACTTAATAGTGCGAGATGATTGGCAAGTTATTTGGTGATGAATTCGTTGGTATTTATAGAGTAAAAAAGTGATGAGGAAAAGGCAAAGGGGTGACATGACATGGCCCACACATCATAGAAGTAAGGAAAGAAGTACATTGGTGGTGCACAAGAGTAAATGTACTAATCAAGGACTTGTTTTTTATTAGATACTCCATTCACCTAAAAGATATACTTTTCATCATTATGTGGGTTATTTTTTTAAGGATATATTCAAGATATAAATGAACCAATAATAATCTTATTATTTTTTCATTTGTAGAACAGTTATTTCAGAAAAGTTTTCATAGCATATACGTATCACAAATATCTTTACATAGCGGTGAGAAAAATACCTAATCTAATTAAAAATAACTGAAAAAACCACATTAACCGAGATGGAAACCTACACTCCGGTTTTTAATTTTCCAAAAACTCTAATTTATGACGCATTGTAGTTTTAATTTTCTAAAAGCCACAAATAACCGAACTACATCAGATTTAACATATCAAATAATTATATATAGAATTTTTTATATGGGTTCAGCTATTTGGAATTGAATTATATATAATTTACAAAAAGAAAAGAAGCGTATGAGTTATGAAGGATTTAAGTGGCAAAATGGTTGTCCCGCGTCGTCCCTACGAGAAATAAGGGTGGGTATTCTTCCATTATATATATCAGCTTACGAAAGACACATTTTCTCATAATTTCACTGCTAGTGTGTAATCATTGGACATTGATACTCATTACCTTCGAAAAAATAACTAATTAATTAAGACTATAACACTATTGCTAGCTAAACGAAGTTACTTATCAAAACATGGTTTAATCTTGTTCATGACTATTTCCTAAGTACTTCAAATCACCATAAACTTAGATTAAGTGATCTGCAAATGAAGTTTTTCCTCAATCACATCAATTTCTTGCATAGTATGAATTAAACGAATTCATTAATCTATGCTACACATTCTTAAAACTATTACATTTGAAATTAAGAGCATGTCGATCGACATAACTTTTTTAAATCACTAAGTTGAAATAAATCAATAAAAAGAGAAATACGAAACCAAAATTGTAAGTAGAATGTTTTTAAAATCAGTAATGAAATAAAAGATAAAAGATAAATTAATGGAAAACAAAGCAAGCAGCAGATCTTCTCCCGGTTGATTTAGGCAGACGCATGCAAGATTATTAGACATTTCACTGTCTCAATTTCTTCATGTCCGGCATCATTGGTGTTTCCATTTAAACTTTTTCTTTTCTCACTTTCTCACTCTCTCTCATACACACATTTTTTTGAACAGCAATCTGGTCTGTTGTTCAGCCATTTTAGATGACATTCGATCTTTTAAGAATCGGATAAAATACAACCTAATAGTAAGAAAAAAAAAAATAAGTGGAAATTAGTTGGCACATAAGTTTTCAATAAAATTATCATTTAGGAATAATTTGTAAAATGCACAGATATCGTATAGTCTAATACGCGAGTTAAATGACTAGCTATTTGACATTCGACCTACATGAATTGTGATTATGGAATATAAACTCATTAAATTTTCATTTATTTTAAATGTACTTCTTACAATCTTTTATATATATATATATATATATATATATATATATATATATATATATATATATATATATATATATATATATATATATTAAATGAATTGTTATTTGTACGACCCTCTCTCTCTCTCTCTCTCTCTCTCTATATATATATATATATATATATATATATATATATATATATATATATATATATATATATATATATATATATATACATAAATTCACAAAAATCATTAAATTTTCAAAAAAGTTGATTTTAATATTGTTTTTTTTTTTCGTCTCAAATTAGACATTATTTTTATCAATTTGTTAAAAATCATTAAGTAATTCCTTTGCATGTATCAATGAATAAGTTAATCAATCACTTGCTTTGATTCGACATATCATATATTATATCCACACTTATGTCTATTACATCTTCCATCTTTTTTCTTGCCTTTTGTGTTTGATAATCATACATCTACACGAATTGAAGGAGATATGTACATTCTAACATTTATTAAAGATCAATGTCGAAGTTACAGTGATTGAAAATTTGAAACAACAACAGATCTCTGCAACTGCAAGAGACAGACATTAAAGCCATGGAACTATAAAAATACGCATAGGCCTGATAATCTTCAGCTATAAGGAAGAATTCACAACTCACAATGCACAATAGACATAACAACAATCAATTTCATTTTACCTTGGTACCTTACAACTATTTATACTTTTGGCATTATGCGCTTATGGCATAATAGTTTGATTGTGTATAGAATGACCAGCACCAGGGCTGTTTCCTAGTTTTGTAGGCCTAAAACTAGTTGCAGATTCTGAAGTAGGAGGATGAATGCCTGAATCTTTACTTTCTACTTCTTTTGATCTTAAGTATGGTATGTTTTCAATGAAAGAATGCCCTGCTTCTGGACTATTACCTAGTGTTGTAGGCCTAAAGGCAGTAACATCTTTTAGTTTCATTCCTTTAGACAATGGGATTTCATGGAAAGTGATATGGAATGTTATTCTACTCTTCAAGTATATCTGGAAATGCCCCTCCCTTCCGCATTTGCAGCACGCGCTGCTCAATCTGACCCCCGAGTGACCCTTCCCGCACTTGTCACAAGTGTGGCCCTTCTGTCCTCATGTCCTGGAATCAACGGTCTTAGAACGCTTTGGCGTCGGTTCTGACTACGCCAGGGCCTGCCTCTACTCTCTCAGTTGTAACTCAATCTCAAGCTCCTGCTACCTAGCGGCCTCATGAAACTCCAGCAAAGTATCACATCACTGGGTAGCAACAAACTGACAGATGTCAGTCTTGAGTATGCTCAGATAATGAGTCATCTAAAACTACTCGGAAGCAAACTCCTGGCAGAACATCGCCCTCTCCTTGAACATACGGGTGATCTCTATCACCATCTCACCATCTTGTCTCAACTCCAAGAACTCCTGAGCTAACCGTTCCCGCTCGACCCGTGGAATGTAGCGAGCGTGGAACATATCCCTGAACTGATCCCAAGTAACTGTAGCTCTCTAGTAATCCGAATATGACCCAGTCATCAACCTCCACTAGTCCTTTGCCCCGGACCTCAACAGGTTCAGGGCACATCTGACCTTCTGGTTAGTAGGACATAAGCACGTGAAGAAACAACCCTCCACGTCAGACAGCCACCTCATCGATCTGATCGGATCCTGAGTCCCAACAAATTTCGGGGGCTTCATGTTATCGAAGTCCCGACACTGAAAAAGCTCGGCCAACTCCTCCCCCACCCGTCATTACAGCTGTTGTAGCTGATGCGACAGCCGTCTCAGCAAGGGTTGCATAGCGTTCGTCGAAGTACTCAACCATAGCAGTCTTAATAGACCCACACATCTGTGGCAGATGTACCCAGAACACAGCATCAACCTCATCATGCAGGATCTCTTGGATCCTAGCATCCAACTCGTCTGACCTCATCTGACCAATGACCTCAGGCACTGTTGGTCCCTCCTGCCCGCCATCTCCTGATCCTGATCCTGATCCAGTCACAAAGCATTTCATAACCACCATACTAAAAAATACATCAGGAAGATATCAGATAATCTGCATAAATAATGGGGAACCAACTCCCATCAAAACCCTAAGGGTTGTGACTTCCTTGCTACGCGTATGGGTCCTGTGCTTTTAGTAGTACGAGCCCATACTACCTTCCACACCTACCCATATTTGTCTCAACTATCATCACAACACCCTAACAATATACATAAACATGGCGAGCGCTCAATCCTCACTCCTAGAGGAATGCTAAATATCTCATAACTGGCCTTCTGGCCTCGCATGACCCACCCATTAAACTTCCACCAACCCTAAAACACTCGTGTATGCTAACCATACATAATGTTGGACCGTCTAGACTTTCAAATAACCGATCTTACCCTAAGCCCTTCATCAAACAAGAATAGGAAATAAGGCCAAACCCAACATCTCGGGCTATAAGGTCTTAATTATGTACGGTCGTGATGCATACACTAAGCAACTACAATAATGATGCCAATTTCATATAAGAAAAAAACCTAGGCTATCAAGCATCATATAATCAGACAATTCTATCATGCAATTCCTAAATATCCCTAGCCTAGTACTAGCATGTTGTTCTAGCATATCACAAAATCAATAATCCGTAAGGTATTTTGGGGTCTATTCGCGAGCTTCGGCTGATCGTACACTTGCATCCTCCTTTATTATTTTGAAAACCATTTAAGAAATCATTTTAAAATATTGTATTTAGTTTGAGACTGGAGACACACGAGTGTTTCCTCCAATTCACTCAAACCAAATCTCTAATACCAACTTGTAACATCCATAAAAAAAATCATGCCAAATTTTAACTTTTTGAAACATTTCAAAACCAATAATTATTACAAAACTTGTTTTCAAATAGTATAGTGTCAAAGTATCCCATAATCAAATCATAAAACATAAAGAGGTGTAAGATCATGCCTTCGCCTTCCCGTCATCATCAGAAGTACCTAAAACAAAATCAATAATTGTAAGCCCAAAGCTTAGTGAGTTCCCCCCAAAATACCAACATCATACAAACATATCAATAACATATAAGCAAACAACATGCATAATAAGCCTTCAGCCTGACTGGACCGCCTCGCAGGGCCTTCAGCTTATCTATACTACTCCCGGGCCTTCGGCATGTTTGGACTGCCTCCCAGGGCCTACAGCCTATCCGGACCGCTCGTCGGGCCTTCAGCCTAACTGGACCACTTCGTAGGGCCGCCTCAACCAACCCCCAATCAAAAAATCATGTGCACATAAATATCATAAGCTAGCATATATAACAGTCAAACCGATCTAACAGATCACTAATCATAGCAACATCCTATAACCAAGATACAGACCTAACTGGTCACTAACATAACATCATCCTATATACCAGGATACCGACCTAACCAGATCACTAAGCATATCACCATCCTAACTACTAGGATGTAAATCAATAAGCATATCATGCAATAACCTGGATATAAATCCGAAAAGGGTCGGCATTGGTACCTTAGACCCTATTGATATAGTGAGAAGAACTCACCTCACAAATGTCGAACTATAGTGCTAAGATCAAACTCTCGAATCACATCCACGAACTCCACCACCTATATTCATCATAGAACCAATTCCATAAATTTCCAATTTACTAAAATACCCCCAACAGTCAAACTGGTCAACCCTTGGTCAAAGTCAAAGTCAACGGTTAAGGTCAACAATCCATGTTGACCCAACTCGTCGAGTGAAGTTCACTGACTCGTCGAGTCATTCTAGAACTCGAGAAACCGTGAAAACCCTAGTTGACTCGTCGAGTTTCCAGACAACTCGTCGTGTCCATGCATGTCCAAATGTAGGAAAAACCCTATCTGACTCGTCGAGTCCTCTCACTGACTCGCCGAGTTCATGCAGAAACCAACAACAACCATTCTTCATCGGACTCGCCAAGTTGACCATGCAATTCGTCGAGTCCCTTCAATCCATTTCCCATTCAGATGTTTTTAAGCTACCCTAAAGCTCTAAATTGTAGATCTAGCTTCCCAAGGCACAAATTCCACATAAAGTTACAAGCTTTACGTCCATACAATGTCTTAAAGGTTTAGAACACCAAAACCAAGTTTAGAACGAGGTTTAGGGCATGATGAGAGGTCAATACAAGGTAAAGCTGATAACTTTATAAATTTGGGACATAAAGGATTCCAGATCTAAAGTTACAACTTCATATCATGGCCAATACCCAAAATTAGGGATGAGATTTAAAACCGGAAAACCAGACCGAAACTGGAATCGGACCGGAACCGGAACCGGAACCGTTAGAACCGTAATATATAGAACCGGTTCCGGTTCCGAATTTAAAAAATGTCTTTATCCGGGTTTGGGTCCACCGAGTCCGGGTAAACCGGGTTTAAAAACCGGAACCTGTGTTAGGAACCGGAACCACTTTTAAGGGCCAGAACCGGTTTTTGTGAAACGTTTAAAACATGCATATCTCATTCGTTTCAAGTCACATTGATGTACGGTTTTTTTCCAACGTGTAGTTTAAAGTTTGTACATGATTTTAGACAATAATTTTATCATTTTTAGTTTTATATTCATTAACTTACAGTCCTCCAAAGTTGAGATATCAAAGCTGGAAGTTTTTACTTTTTCAGCCTTTTTGTATTCAGTGAAAGTTTTTAAAACATGCATATCTAATTTGTTTGAAGTTAGATTTGTTGGATTAATGTCTAAGTCCATAACTATAATTGGTAAAACTTGACCCGACCCAGCATGGTCCATTTGGGTTGCATACCATCATGCACTTGGATAGACTATAATAAGAGAAATAAGACACTTATGGTTATTAATATATTATAAGTTCTAGTATATTAATAATAAGAATAATAAGATTATTTAATTAGTATTGATCAAGAATTAATCTAGGATTAATTAAGTGATCAAAAGAAGACTAATTAAATATATGGGTTGATTGTGTAAATCATCCATACTTATATAGTGGGCTAATGCTCCATGGATAATCAAGTTGGGCTAAAACCCATAGGATGGTCCATGGATGCTCCATGGTGTATTTGAACCCATGGATCCAAGGAAATGGAAAGCCATGACAATTAAGGATTTACCCTAATTGTATCACTATATAAAGATCTTATTCTTGACAAAAATCGGCCACTAGGATCACACTAGAAAGTGAAGAAAAGGGCTAGCCGATTTCATGAAGTGTAGAACTCTCTCAAGTTATTCTAAGTGTTTTGATGATTGTGATTCCATTTGAGGCTTCCACACTATTGGGGCTAGGCACTCAAGCTTCATGAAGACTTTCTACATCAAAGAGGTATGTATTCTATCTTGTTACACTCATTGTTTTGTATGCTAGATTAGGATAATACCTTGGATGTTCTTATTTGCATGTATAATAGAGAAAACATAGATCCAAGGTATTTAGGGTTGCATGTACACTTAGGAGTGTTAGAATGCTCAAAACCCAACAGTGGTATCAGAGCCTAGGCTTGTTTTCTTGTTATACCTGCAATAGATGCTTAAAAAATCGAAAGTGTTGATGTTTGATCATCAGACTCGGCGAGTCCATCAAGGGACTCGGCAAGTCCATGCCTAAAAATTGATCAAAACAATCCAACTCGCCGAGTTGGTTCATGCACTCGACGAGTTGGACCCCCAGACAGCATATTTTCGAGGTTTTGGCTAGAAATGGACTAGGAACATTACCCTAAGTTGTTTTTGAACTTATAAACTTTTTTTAATGTGGTAATGTTCATGCTAATCCATTTTCAAAGATAATTGTCAATAGATTCATGTTTTGTATTAGTTTAAGGTTTAGACTAATTACATGACAAAGTTTGATTTGAATTATCTTGTTCTTATGAGTTGCTTAGATTAATAGAAAAGTTAATTGAAATAGTTGTTTTCAATCCATTTTAATCTAAGAGTTGAG